CAAAAGCTACAACTCTTGTTGCATAGGTCCTGCTTTACCTTGGTCTTAACCATCCAGCAGAAAAGTATAAAAAGAAATATAAGAAGTAAAGCCATGCTGTTGTGTTGAGCTGTAGGGGACTCAGGTCAACAATTTCTGACATTGCCAGTGAAGCGCAAGACCCAATACTATTATGGGCCACTGGACTCTTTTAGAATATTTTGCTGAGTTTACACACCTATAATATTCAAATAATGGAACTTAACACAAAAAGGAGCTACAGATGAATGTCCATTTTGTATTTGTGTATTCAAAGTGGTTAGGATAGATATATAGTTGCACTCTCTTAATGAATAGAAGGATTTGTTGTAATTGTGTTTGTAAATAGGATATCATGTCTGCATCTTGTACAGCAATTAACCAGTAGGAAGAATGTATGCAATGTGTTAATTATTGAAACTGTTCTACCAATTTGGTTTAAAAATTAAATAAATAAATAAATTAATTAATTAATATGCTACTTAAAAAAAATCATACAACACCTACAATAGCCGTAACTAGCTGACCGACGAGCCTTTCCTGGGAACTACTCTAGGGATAGGGAGAAGGTAATCACAACACATAGTCCCTTGCAGTTCACACTAAATGGTAAAGGGCTTCCTGCCTCTGAGCTAAACACTTACTTTGGACACTAGCACTTTAAGTCCAGCATGCTTTGAGTAAAATAAGTTGAATACCCAAGAAGCCTTCAAGTATTCGAGAGTGCGTGTCATTGCTATCCAAGAATCTCCTTCTTTAGGTGAAAATCCTACTTTTTTAGATCTATGTTCCATGACACAGTTTGTAGACCTTCACTAGGGGTATCATCACAAATGCTCAAATTAATCAGCCTCTCTTTTTTCATATCATTCGAACAGACAATGAAGGTTGGAATTATAATACTTATGTAAATAGAAGAAATTATTATATTACAGTAAGCATGATTATTACTGACTTGCAGAAAAATCTTTCTACCATTAGACAGTAATGTATCAATGACAAATAATTCCCATTAAGGGCTGGGGAGATGGCTCAGTAGAATAAATGCTTGCCTGGCAAGCACAAGGTCCTGAGTTCAATCCCCGGTACCACAGAAAAAAAAAATTCCCATTAGGTTTATTTTCCAAAGGATACTCTGAAATGCTATTAACTGTTAAACATATGAAATAGAATACAGATTTTTTAGGTATACCCCAAGTTAAGCAGATCAAAGCTCTTGTCAAAATAAAATGGAAAAATATGACTTCAATTGCTAGATGATGTTTGTATAGAAGAAATATTGGTAACAAAAGTTCGTGTTTTGAATTTTAGTGGCAGAAATAATCAAGTCCTATTTATCTCAGGTTAAGGTTATGCAACTGAATGACTGTTATTTGGTTCAGTCTTTCTGACAGGGATAAGCTAAATCTCCACATATATCTTTATTTTCACAGTTTTCCTTTGACATAGAGAAAATTATATACTGTTTCATTTTCCATACTTTTTTAAATTTTATGTATTTAGTACAGGGTCTCACTATGCAGCTTGGACTTGCAGTGATCCTCCTGTTTTTAGCCTCCCCAGCACTGAGACTCAATTCCTGGTTCAGCGTGCCTGGGGGCAGGGCCAGCACGTCATGTGGATCAGGAATCGAAACCCAGTGCCTGGGCTTGCCTAAGCAGGTGCTTAGTCTCCTGAGCTATCTCTCCAGCCCTCATTTTCTATAGTCTTTGAACACTATGTCATAACCTTTTAACAATCACATGAAACCTTTAGAGTACCTTGTTCTTCTATTTTCTCTTTCAGACTTCTTCTTCGTCTGAGAATTTCTTTACAAGGCTCATCTGGTGAGAGAAAGAGAGAGACAAAAATCCCAAAAGTAGTTCCATGAAACCAAACATTTAAAACATTCATAAGTCATTCATTCAACATATCCACATTGAAACCCTGCTTCAGATTAAGCATTACCCACTACACATCTTAATATGACTTGTTATAGTAGAGGCCATTGTCTGGCAAATTTAGTTTGATTTGCAGACCCAAGTGTGGTTCTTTTATCTTATCTGAGTATGGTTTTGAGTTCTGTAACATTTTTGATCCTTTAATTTAGAGTGAGTGAACCTTTAAGTGAACAAAATTTCAATCAGTTTGTAATGAGTCAACTCACGTTTTAGATTATAAATGTAAATCTTGTGCTTTCTGTTGTAAAAATGTATACTTACCACTGTTCTAAGTTATTTAGTAACTAGTGGCTGTTTCTTGCTATTTGCTAGATAAAATTCCTGTGATGCTCACCAATTCCTGTCTGCAAAGTTAGCTTACAGAGATGACAAAGGAAACTAAATGGGCTTTATCTTCTTGTTACCTCCAGGCTATGCAAGGCTGCCTGCAGGTACTCAGGTGAAAATTAACCAGAAACTGAAACAAAAGCCCTGGAAATGTAGTTTACGAGTTGTGGTCCCAATCACTCTGAAAGCCTTATTTTGTGTCAGAAAATAAATTTGCTTATCAAACTCAATATGGTTCCAGGGTTTAAAACCCCTTCCTGCTTCCTGGGCTGCCGCCTTTTCCATTCTCTCCTGCAGGAGAGCAGACGGGGGACCCTGAGCTCAGTAATAAACGGCTTTCCAAATTCCAACCTGGCTGATCTGGTTCCTATTCTGAGTGACCCATAACAAGTTAATCTGTTTTTCTTATTTTTCTTTGAGGTAGTGTTATACACAAGCATTAATACCATAGCATCAAGTATAACTATGAACAATTTTCAAAAGCATAGAAAGAAAGTGACTAAAATTCAACCTCTGCCGTTGAAAAGTTCATAGTGCTGAGGGTAGAAAAGGCATAAGGATGCATAAAAATGAGTTGTTATATTTCATATATGTAATAGAATGTTACATATATAAATACATCTCTTCCCTACAGTACTCTGCCCATAGAAGAAAAGATCTCAAAGAGAAGAGATGGTTCTTATCCTAGCTTTTCCAGGATAACAATGTGAAAAGCAGTTTCCATGAGTAAAGCCCCCAAGGTGTAAAAGAGCCTGGAGCCATTCCAGAACCACACTTGGGTCTGCAAAGCTTAAACACAAGTTAGAGAACAGCCGGGTGAGAAATGGTTAGAAAGAGCCAGGAAGAAGGTGATGAAAGACTGTAGGCACTGCGCTGAAGAACTCACACTTGTCCTACAGGCAAATGAAATGTGTGCCATGGAGTCACAAAGTCATAAGACCAGTGTGGAGAATATTCCGGAATATTCTGAGACCAGTATAGACAGTATTCTGGAATACACTGAGCCCAGTATAGAGAATATTCTGGAATACACTGAGCCCAGTATAGAGAATATTATGGAATATTCTGAGACCAGTATAGAAAATATTCTGGAATATTCTGAGACCAGTACAGAGAATATTCTGGAAGAGGGACAAAAATGGGAGCTGGAGAGCAAATTATCAATGTAAGTTTCAGTAATAAAAATGCAGTGCATTTTACCATTTTCTTGGGACTCATCTACATTTGCATTGGTGATGAGGCGGAGTCCAGCTCGATGGAAAACATCCGCATTGTTAAGGCCACCACCTATCCCACAGCCCTGGTCACTCTTCTGGAAAACTTGAAACACCTGTCCAGAAAAAGCAAAGCTAAATTTTCCAAAACAAAAAAGACTGACGTGTTTTCAGAACACAAGATGCTGTACTTTCCTATAAACTACCACACTAGTTCCTTACAGAAAAGCAGGCACGTGTTCCCCTAGTTCTTTGCCCATAACCTGTCATGGGGGCCATACTTTGAAAAACTGCACTGAACCATCCCACCCCATTGTGGCTATAGAACTGCATAATTTAACTCTCTAGTGGACTTTTGGATTCCTGTTTGTTTTGTTTTATTTTTAGAGAAAATTTAAAAAAAAAAACAATAAAAGCTCCACATCCATGACTGCTGGAAAGGATGGACTTTTTGTTGGACTATTTTTAGCTGTTCTGTCAACTGTGGTGAGTGCCACCCATGAGTCTGGTAGCCACATTAAGAGACATAGTTTGAGCTGGAGGTATAGCTCAGGGTCCAAGCACTTGCCTAACGAATCACTTGGTTTGATCCCTAGCACCATAAAACAACAGCAACAAAACAACAGGGAGACACACAGAGACCTGGAGGATATATAGTACGCATCTACATCTGGGAACACAAGAATCTTAAAGGAAGTTTGAAAAGGAGAAGAACATTTGTATGAGACAAAACTGTCCAGAGGCAGATGCTCTGACAGTCGCATTCATTTAAGAGGAAATTGTTACGATGCATAATTTGTCCCTCACCTCCAGCTGGTTGCAGCATTTTTCTTCAATATTGAACACAACTGAATCAGATATAATTTCTGCTGTCTGCTGTCCTGGGATGACGTAATAGATCAGGATTCGGGCTGAAGGAACCATATCAGGTGTCAAGTAGATGTACATAATTTCATAAGGTGAATATGGATTTTTCGTATGTGTGCTAAAGTGTACAATTTTTCCCTTGGACAAAATCTAAAAATAAGCCGAGGAAGCAACAACAGTAAATAAACAAAACTGTGTTTTCCGAAGGAGCTTGGAGAGAGAAGCAAAAACTATGCTAAAGACAAATAAGGTGCCATGTACGAATATTCCTAGCATGTGCCAGGAACTTTAACATTTATTTAATTTCTGTAATTCTCATAGTATACAGTGGCATAGGAATAATTGTCTCCATTAAAGAAATAGAGGCTCAGGAACTAACTAAACTTTGTACTGATTTTTTTTAAAGAAAAAATAGTAAAAACAAAATTAGAAATGATATAGAATTTCACTAAACAAAATAAGAATTCAACCATGGTTGTTACATTGCATAATGTTGTCTTCAAATTAGTTGTTTAGGTTATTAGGTATAAGCATGCAAAATTGGTTTTTTAAAAGTCATAAGAAATTAAAAATGAAAATAAAAAATTTAAGCATTAATGGCTCATTTCAGTAGACCAGAAGAAATCAGTAGTACAATTATCCAATCCATCCTGCACACATATATAGATGTATCTTTTTACCTTCCCTTTTTTCTTTCTTTTGTCTTTTTCCTCACTCCAGTTGTTACTTCCTTTTGAACAGATTCTTTCCCCTTCACAGTATCTATTGCATTTTTATTTACTCTTTCAGGTTCTTACACTAGTGAGACAATATGATGTTTGTACATGTGGATCTGATTTATTTCCCTTATGAGTATGGTCTCTACTTGCATCAATTTACCTATAAAAGCCTCAAGTTTATCTTTTCTACAGCTGAGTAGTACTCCATTATATAAAAATACATCTTTTTAAACCATTCCTCGGTTGATGGGCATTTGGACTGTTTCCAAGATTTAGCTGTGACAAATTGTGCTGCTATAAACATAGGTTCACATATATTGCTGTGGTAAGTTGTTTTTAGTTCATACTGATTCAGTTCAAAATCACATGTCTAGGAAATTGTAGAGCTAAAATTAATACTTATATGTATTTCAAGTCATATTCCATTACTAAAATCTCCTGTTCTTTTAATTAAAAATAGATGGGTAAGTAGAATGCATTTTATTTGGGGGTTAAGTTTTGAAGCGATGGGTTAGATTCTAAGTTGAGGTTCAGGTTAAGCAAAAATGACAGGAAGCCAAAACATCTTCAGGGGTCCCTTAAATTGTTCTCAGCAAGCAGGGCTGCATATGTGGTTTTGGTATATAGTATATAAACAGTTTTTGTCATCTGTCAATATTTTTCTGTAGGCTTGGGATTGAGGTAAGTGGCACAAGCACCTGCCTGGAAAGTGCAAGGTCTTGAGTTTGATTCCTGGTACCAAAAATAGCAAACAACAACAACAAAAATTTCTGCAGCCCTCATTTTCTTCTGCAAAAATATTGAAGAAGTCATTATCCTCTTTTGGCTGGGGCATTAGAATAATTCACTTCCCTCTTTGGCTATTGTCAGGAAGCTCTGCACATTTTTTTTATTCTTTCCTAGTTTCACCACAGGTGTGACTGATCCACTTCCAGTTTAATAGCAGGGATGCAATAAGGGTGCTGCTGAACAGCAATGAAACAGATACAGTGTGACAGTTCTTTAGAGCGGGATTAGGTACCACATTGCAGCCAGTCAAATGCACACTTTTCAACTAGGTGCTGCCATATAATCTTTGGCCATGAACTATGGCAGAGGTGGTGTGATTTAATCACTTTTTTTATATTATCAAAAGTTACCAGGCCAGGAATTAATGGTCCTCAGTTCATATAAAAAAAAAATCTGAACTAGATAAGTCTTACAACTTCTCTGTTGCTCTTTTTCCTCATTTGTGAAATGGTTATAAAAATCATGCCCTATTATCAAGGGTTTTTGAAAAGCTGGGATTCAAATTAGATGATCTTAAAAACATTTTTGTAAATGGAAATGTCAGAGTGTTCTAATTCTTCTCTATAAGAGAGAGAGAGGGAATTCCAGGTTGGGTAAAAGATGTAAATGTATCATTACTGTACTTACAAGATAATTATAATGAGTTATGTTGTGAATATATGGACTTTGAACACTGAAAATAATCCTCAGAAATTCTCCCAAACGCACAGCCTGAGAGTTTGAAGCCCAAATAATGGAAAGATAACTTTGGCTAGGAGATGAGTATGCAATCGCTTGGTAATGTTTGCTAGCTTGGTTTGCTTTCGGAACGTGTGGGGCATCAGTTTTGACCTGAAAAGGAAAATTTCAAAAACATAAATAGGTCATGAGTAGCATTTTTATAAAACACAGCCTTTAAATCTTTGCATTATAAATTTCTAAAGTTCACAAATGTTAAAGACAACAACAACAAAAAACCACCCTCCATTACTCTGCTTTTGACAGTTATGGTATCAAATAACTTTACAAAGCCTGGAAAATAATGATGGAATTTGCGGACATGGTGAAAAGTCTAATGAAGAGAGGGGATGCTCCAGCAAGAAATACTGACATGCTTCCTAAATAGTATGGTAAGATGGGAGTTTCTTTTTTAGGTGTGTGATACAGGAGTTGGGGCAGGAGAAGGGAAGAGGCGAGGAGGCAGTGCTAGCCCAGTTCACTGTGAAGTGGCGACACGGAGTAGTGCTTATGAATACAGAGTGGCAGACATGGTAACATGGCTGTGATATCTATATCCAGACAGCAGGAAGGTCCCCAGCTCTGAGTCTGTCACATGTCCATTGTTTTGCCTTCCAATGGCACCCTGATTAATTCTGGATAAGTTACTTCATCAAAGAGATGTTAGAAGCATCACTCTCTTTAGCCACAAAACAACAGACATAGTGTTTTCTAGCTCACACTCCTGATTAAGTAGATATTAAATATGTTCTTCGTAAGGCTCTTGGTATGGTGCCTAAGTACTTAGTATGTGCTGGGGAGAAGACAGTGAATGTATACAGGGTGCTGCTATTTTTTTTTTAATTTTTATTTATTTATTTATTTATTCATTAACATTTAGTGTGTGTGTGTGTGTGTGTGTGTGTGTGTGTGTGTGTGTCCAGCTCAGCCCACCAGGGGGCGGGGCTGGCTGGCATGTGGTGCTGGGGGATCGAACCGCGGTCCCTGTGCTTTGCCAAGCTTGTTCCAAGTAGGTGCTTTAGACCACTGAGCCATCTCTCCAGCCCCAGGGTGCTGCTATTGACTTGCATTGTCAACTTATTTGTGTTTCATTTGAGATTGAGAATTATATGCTGACAAAGACAATTAATCAGACTGAACAGGAGAGTGCTTTATACTTTCCTTTAAGGAAGGTATGCTTCCACATTTGAACCCTTTGTGGTCCTAAAAATAGATAAACAGTGTGTGAGGGAGGGAGATATTACTACAGTTGATGGTCACTGCTACATATGTATCTATATTCCAGATTCTAATAAAGTCTTATCAGTGTAAGAGAAAATTTACAGTTAATTCTCAAACAAAAATGTACGGATTAGTCTTTCTCAAGGACTGTTCAACAGATCAGCAGGTGGTCTCAGGTACTCATTTGCCTTAATGCACGCTGTGGAAAAGCTGATTGGACTCCTGTATAAATCTGCCACATCTGCTCTGCACACTAGCCGAATTATGCAGTCAGAAAGTACATATCAAGCTGGGCATGGCAGTGCATACTGGTCATCCCAGCACTCTGGGGCTGGTGCAGAAGGCTTACAAGTTTGAGCTCACCTGGACAGACACTGTCTCAACATTTCTGAAAAGGCATAAGGATGTAGCTCAGTGAAAAACACTGGTTTCAATTACCAGTACAGGAAAAAAAAAAAAAAGTACACACCATCTTAGAACTATAGCAGGAGAATTTAGCTCACCGAAAATTCCAGCACTGTCACTCCAGATGGCACAGAAACCAGAAATGGAGCCACTCCATTGGTGAAACTTGTTAATACTCTCTTTGGTGGCAAGTCAGATGTCTCCTGGCTTACATTGACTGTTCGTGCATTCATGGTGACTGGGACCCCTCCTACCGGCTGGTCCAGTGAACCCTTAACTTGTACCTGTTTACAGAACAATGCAAATCCATTTCAACAGCTCATCACATCTTTCATTTTCCTTTCCTCTCTCAAAATATAAATTACTTATGTTTAATTCAGTAATGTGAACTGAGTTCTCAAGTCATAGAAGGGTTCCATTTTATTTAATTATTCTTGAACTTAATTCCCTGATCAACCTAACTCAGAATGTAAATATTCTATCAACCAAATAAATGTGACAAGATTGTCTACTATCTAATTTATGAATTTATGTATTTCTTTAATTGGATGAGAGTGGGATAAAGGAAAAGATGAAGCAATTGGGGATGATTCTTTTGGATCTGGGAAACATTAAATGGATACATTTTCTTTCTTGACTTCTACCACAGTACATACATATAATAATATATGATGCATAAATTCCTCAAATAAATTATTTTTATATGTGATATAAAATATATGATGTTTAAATTAGTTCTATATATATTTTATGCCACTATATGTATTTTATAAAATATATGACTATACATTGTATATAAATAGTATATGTGATATATAGAATACACATAATATATATTACCTACAATATAATATGATATGATATAATATAATATAAATATGTAAGAAACTACATGTAAATTCCAAGCTTGCTTGAGGCATGGTAAATGTTTTTTCCAATAAGCCAGCAACACTGTAAGTAATCAATTACAAACTTTAATTACAGTCATCCCTAGAAATCCATGGGATTGGCTCTAATACACACCACAAGGGCAGAATTTAACGATCATATCCCTTAGGTAAAACTGCAAAGCAAGGGTCCCTTTTAGAGAATTACATAGCATTTGAGCATGACCTACTCGTATTCTCCCTCTCCTCTAGATTACTTACACCTGATACAATATAAATGTTATATGAATGTTTGTTATACTGTGTTGCTTAGGGACAATGACAAGAAAAAATTATCTACATATTCAATCCATGAGTAGCAGAAACCGTGGATACAGCAACCAGAAAATACAAAGTTAACTACATACTCATTTTTTAAAATAATACATTTTTCAAAAAATATGTTTTAGGCTTTCAAATGTTAAGAGCAAAAAAACAGAAATAGCCATTTTGTAAGTTTTCTAATATGTAATGGTTTATAATACAATATTTAAAATAATAGATATAAAATTAAAGGAACATTTTAATTGATATGATCAACATTTAAGAAAGGAAAAGAAGAGGGAAAATGACCAAAAAAAGAGTCAGAGACAGAGAAAGCCAAAAAGGAAAAGACAGAAAGCAAAACTGAAACATATGAGGCCAGAATTCTACAGAGACAAATCAGAAAATGTAGACATGTATCTACACAGAGAAGCACCGTAGAGGTTTTGAAAATGGTGAGAAAAAAGGACCTATTTTTAAAGTCATAGCTCTAGCTTAAGCCTTTCTAAGAACTTTCCATGAAAATATTTTAAATGTTGTAGTTTTCATATTATTGGTTTAAGGGCTTTTGTTTACACATAATGTAATACATTAACATGTCTTCAAGGAACGCCTAACACAAAGCTATCTTACTTAAAACCAGCACGTGCCCTCAAGGTGGAAATCTCTCCCAAGGTTGCAGCTGGCCTGTCATTTCCATGCCTCCCTGCCTCTGAAGGAGAATTTCCTCTGTCCTGTGCCTCTCTGGCACCCTTCTCCCATTTACCACCACCATGTTTTCCATACATAGAAAAGGATGAAGGTATAGCCAGGTGAATAGCCAGGGTTCACCCCGGCCCCACCTACCTTGATGGAAATTGGAATCTCAGGTTTCAGAAAAAGAGGAGTAGCGAGCAAATTCAACGTGTAGAGGGAGAGGATGTATCTGATGCCACGTACTTCTGCCTTCTCGGAAAATCCACCTAAGGAAACAGCAAGCATCATGTTAGCGCTTTTCAGAAGTCTAACGATCTGAAGGTTGCCTATGCTGTCACTGTGTGCCGTGAGCTCCTTCGTGCAATCACCCTCCTGCACTTAGCCCTTTCCAACAGGGAAAGGTGGTTCTTGGTGGGTACGGGGGTGTGCGGAGGAGTTTGGACTTGAGGGGTTTCCAGAGTCTCTGTGTAGAGATGCCCTTGCAGAAGTTGAGAGGGTCACTTTACAACAGAGGCCTGAGTTTCAGTTGAATACATTCAAGAGAGAAAGAAGAGGAGACAGGTAGGCAGAGACAGAGCTTTCAAGAGTTCACCATTAGAACACAGAGATGTAGAGAAAAATCGAAAAGAATTAGAAAAAAAGCCTGATATAGAAAGAACCCTAAGGGCCCCCTGGAGAAACCACAGTATTGCTATCCAATGGTTAAAAATTAAGTAATACATTAAGAATAACAGAGGAAGTTTGCATAGCCTCAAACTCCTCCCCAGCATTACATCCCCAACACTCCCTACACATATCTTATACTGCAGCAAAACTGACGGATCTGCCGTTCTTAAAGACCAGCCTCATGTTCCTTCCTTTTGGCCTTGGAGGCAGCCCTGCTTCAATCTATGCACCATGCCTGCCTTCAAACCCTACATCCGCTAGGACTGACCAAGTTCATGACAAACCTGACGCTGTATTCTTCAGAAGCTCAGTAAGGTAACATTAAGTTCATCAACTGGAGCGCACACAGAATACTTTCTTGTAACTGTCTTTTTTTTTTTTTTTTAATGTATTTAGTACACGGTCTATAGGTTCTCACTACATAGATCAGACGCATAGTGATCTTTCCTGTTTTCAGCCTCCCAAGAGCTGGGATTACAGGTGTGGGCCACCATACCCAGTCGCAGGCGCCATCTCAGTATGCCTTAGGGGCGGGGCCGGTAAGGTAGGCCAGGGATTGAACCCTGGTCCCTGCATCTGCCTAAGCAGGCACTTTAATCCACTGAGCTATCTGTAAATCAGTTCTTTATGCTCTTACATTAGGTGTTAGATTATAAACCACATTAGTGCTGGGATTATATATCATTCATATTTGTTTTTTCCCATAATTTTATCATTCATATTTGTAAGCCTGTGTATTCAGCAATAATCTTCAAGTGTCTCAAAAATATTGTTTAAACCGAGCTTATGGTATTTGAAATTTCAGAACAACAAAAGTAAAAATGAAATATTAAGATAACATTAAAAATAATAGCTACGGCAACACTCTAAAGACTATCGGCAATCTGCTATATGCAAGTGTTCAATACGTGAATAATAGCTCAATTCACCTGTCATGGAAGAAGAAAATTAAAAGAGGCCTTAGAAATCATTCTTGGGAATCTAACTCTTATGCACACGCGCACACACACACACACGCGCGCGCGCGCGCACACACATGCACCCAAAGGAGCTCAATGTAATTGAATTATTTATGCAAGGTTAGTTGGATGTTCAATATAAACCTGAAAGAATGAATGATATAGTCAAGAACTTAGAAATAAGATAATTTTGGTCTGACTTGCCATAGTAACGGACAACTGAAACCATTGGAGGAGGCTTCAGAGCTCTAGACAAGAAGTAAGGAGTGCTAAGGAAGCAGTAGGTGGACACTTACAAAACAGAGAAGACAGAGGAGGGATAAGTAGTCAGAAGAGGAAGCAAAAGAAGGTCTAAGACATAAATGACACTGAGTAGGGGACAGTTATTTGTTTGTTTGTTTGCTTGCTTCCCCCAGAATTTGAGATTGCACTAGGGCTTGTGCATGTTAGGTAAAGTGCTCTACCTGACCTAGCCTCCTGGGCAGGTGACATTACCGGCATGTGCCACCATGCCTGGGGGTAGGTACTATTTAAGTATTTTGCCAACCTTCACCTTAGCCCTATGACATATGCTATTTTTATTGTATTCATTATAGAAAAATATTATCTCTTGTAATTTTAGATACAATTTCTGGATTTCATATCTAAAAAGGGTTTTAAGGAGCACCCTTGCACAAAGAAGGAGACCCAAACACTGATAATAATGGCTTGCATTTGCACAGTGCTAGATCAAACAGTTTTACATACATAATTTCATTTTGAGTTTGGTCCCCTCCAAATGAGAGCCCTAGAATGACAGATGATCAAGGTCGTTGGCCGCAGAAACATTTAGGAGATAAACTGGGCAGTGTTGTCCCATTTTTGCAGTTCAGACACTAGGGAACCTGTGGCCTGCTCCGTGACTACACAGTGGCAGAGCTCTACTCTAACACAAATTTTTAATGTTATCAAAAAGTAAAATTTAACTATGGAAGAAAACAAAATGTGAAGGAACTGTAGAAATCATGCACCCTTTTGATATGCTGTCTAACTATTTCCCAAAAGAGAGTTTAATACATACACAGACACATAGACACACAGACACACACACAGACCCACAAAACACACACACACACACACACACACACACACACTTACCTGGAACCTCTACAACTGTTACAGCAATATAAAGGTACTTGTCATTTAAATCTGCTAAGCTGTTATATGACAGTTCTTTAATTGCCATTTCAGAATTAAATGTGACGTGAGCTGTTCCATTTTTCAACTTGTTAAAAGGGAAAAGTGGAAGAATTATTTTAGAGAACATATAAGGAAAAAAACTAACAATATCTGCTTTGACTAGCATCTAAATTGAACACAATGTCAGACGACTGGTCTAGCAGCACAAGTGAAGCGTAACCCAAGTCCACAGTGAAGCCCATGATACTGTATTCTAATTTGTTTGCATAAAATTATAGGTGTAGAGGAGTTTTGAACATCTATATGGTCTGACAGGTCTCTGGTACTTGGACTAAACTAAGACTTTGTTATTTTTTTTATTCAATTTGTGCTTCACTGTTTATAAATTTAAACACTAAAGACATACAGGGAGTAAAAGGATAAGTGACATCATGTTATTTACTTATTGAAATAGCCTTTCCCTGGGGGTGTGCCTCAGTGGTAGGATAGTAGAGCACTTGCCTAGTATATACAAAACTGTGAGGCTGATCCTACAAATAAAAAAAAATTTTCTTTATCTTTTATTCTGAAATTATTTTGGTATCTTGATGCTAGGTACTTTTGTTGTATTTAGCTGGCTTGCTTAATTATTTCTTTTTGGTGCTGGGGACCAACCCCAAGGCCTGCCCCATGATAACCACGTGCTCTACACTTCTTGACACCTTCAGCCCCGATGTCGCTTTGAATCTTGGTGTGTATCTTGGACTCTTGCCTTGTAGAGAAACGTTTAACGGGGAATGTAGCTCAGTGGTACAGTACTTGTCTAGCACTTGTAAAACCCTGGGTTTGATCCCCAGTATTCCAGAACAAACAAACCCTTTTTAGTTTGTGTTGAATAAATAAGCCTGTCTTTTTAAAAGCAGGGCTATACAGTTGATGGTGCAAAACATATGGCCATGCAGAAGTAAACAAACATGAAATGAACCCACAATGTGAAAAGCACTGAATAAAGAAATGGGAGGAGGGCTCTAAGCTCAGTTCCCATGAACACTAGCCCTTAACCATAGACAAATAACTTCACTAGTATTTCTAAAGTACCTAATCTTGGCAAGAAGATAATTTTGTCTCAGGGTATATAGGGGAAATAAATAAGACCCACAGAATTTTAAAATATATCATTATAATAAGGATAAAGAAGGATTTTTTTCACCTTTAGAATTATTGGCATTTTCTTTTTTAATTGAGCATAACTGACAAAATACATATTTATACCATGTTATGATTACAGCAATTGAGTTCATAAGCATCTCCCTCCCCTTGGATACTTACAGCAATTCTTTCTTTTCTCCCCTTAGACGTATTTTATAACAACGTAGGTCAAGAATTATTGACATTTGGAACAGGATAATCCTTGGCTATGTGGGGGTGCTCTGCACATTGTAGAGGTTTAGCAGCAGCCATGCCTCTCCCCGCTGAGTCTCAGCAGCATGCCCCTTGGCATGATAACCCCAGATGCCTCTGGACAGTGCCAAGGGACCCTTTGGAGGTAAAGTCAGCTCTCTTGGGGAGCCACTGCAGGCAAGTGTGAAATAGGCTGTGAGGAGACAGGCCTGGGGCCTGAAGGGATGAGCGGCTGGGGCAGTGAATGCATTTCAGAGGAATGAGGGGGAGGGGAAGGGTGTGCATGGTGAAGTTTAGAGTAAGAAGGAATTAGGCAAAGAAAAGGAAGGAGGGGACAGAGGAAAAGAGTTTGAGAAGAAGGGGCAAGGATAGGAAAACAGTACATGATCGGTGGGAAAGAGAGAGTAAAGCCAAGGACAGTGGCCTTCACTGTAAAAGTGATGGGAAGCCAGAGAAATTTTAACCTTCAGCTTCATACCTAAAGAGCGTGAAGGACTGGACTAGAGAGTTTGGAAATAACTTCCCATCCTCATGTCCTTTTTAGGTCTAAGCAGGCATGTCTTAATACCTTACCGTTACGTTTTGCTTTGCTTTTGGCATCATTTCTTTTCGGTCATCTTGTATATCTTCTCTTATTCCGAAAGAAACAAAAACTTGAGCCTCAGGGACTACATGATTGCGAGAATACCTGGCAAACAATATGACAGCACTGTTGCATTCTTATGGTCATAATAATAAGATTTAGGTAAAATATAACTGATAACCTTTCGAACAGGATAATCCTTTGCTATGTGGGGGTGCTCTGTACATCATAAAAGCATCTGATATACTTTCATTCACTGTTATGTTTCATCCTCATAAAAATCACAATAAAAATCTAGAATATGGCTTTTTCATTAGTAGGTAGAAGAGGAAAGTGCTCATCTTGGTGTGATCAAAGGATGCAGATTCAGCCAACACTACTTTCTCAATGATTTTGATGTCAGTGGGGAGCTACACCCTGTTATGTTTTGTGTCTTTAAAAGTATTCCCGATCTGTTATGTGAGATTAGTTCTTTCAAAAAACATCTGAACCGCCTAGTTCCTTTTTCAGTTAGAGTTAAAGCAAGAATGAACTTTCTACCTAGCAAACAATACTGTAACAAAAGTCAACTTTCCTTATTAATGGTTTGAATAAATAAATTGTGAGAAGTCAGGTTCTAGTGGTTTCACTCAAGTGAGCCTTTTATGCTGGTGTAGACTAAATGGCAAATCTCTACTTTCAAAGTAAATGTTTACAAAAGAAGCAGCAGCAGGTAGGGTTGGAGGCATGGATGCTGGAACCAGACAGGCTAGGCAGCGTAATAGTTGGGTGGGCTTGAGCTGATTATTCAACAATTCTATGCCTCAGGTTTTGTTCAGTTCTTGTGCTATACAGATAGTTATTTTATTTACCTTATAGAGTTGCAAAAGAGTTAATGTGATAATATGTTCAGAGTTCTTAGAGAAGCCCCTACCAAGGTACCTATATAAGTTGGTTATTAACAACTACATTGTGTTTCCTATCTTTAAATGCCTTGCACTTTTGTGATAGGTTGCTTGCAAGACTAATGCCAGTTGCTTTCCCTTCTGTATATTCCCAAACTTAGTCATTTTTTCTTTGCATATGAAGTTGTAGGAGGAATTCACTTCACCTGGGCTGACCTCGTAACCCTCTCTGAATAAAAGAATGGGTGGAATGGAAGTGGATGACAAAATATACACTGGGTCGAGTCTTTTATTTATTTGTTTGTTTTTGGTACTAAGAATCTAACTCAGGACCTTGTGCTTGCCAGGCAGGCACTGTGCTGCTGAGCTACATCCCCAGTGCCTGGTTCAGTTCTTTTGAAACCCTGTCAACAGCCAGCCATTCACAGACACATGAGTAAGACCTTCCCTCACCAGTCATCCCTCAAACGACCTTCCACCCGATTGTCATAGTTGAACCCAGATGACATCAGCCTGGCCCAGAATACAGACCTGCCTGGCTCATTTCATAAATGGTTGTTTTAAAAGCAGTTAGTTTTGAAAAAGTGATGCACAAAAAAAAAAAAAAAAAAAAAAAAGGGCTGGGGAGATGGCTCAGTGGAATAGTGGAATAAGTGCTTCCCTGGCAAGCGCGAGGGCCTAAGTTCAATCCCCGGTTCCACAAAAAAAAAAAAAAAAAAAAAAAAAAAAAAAAAAAAAGTGATGCAGAATTTGTTAGCTGATTAAGGGCTTTTTTTTTTTTTTAAAGGTAAGCCAGAAACAGAGGCAGTATGCCTGCAATCCAAGCAATTGAGGAGGCTGAGGCAGGAGGATTATAAATTCAAGCCCAGCCTGGACAGTTTGGTGAGACCCTGTCTCAAAATAAAATTAAAAGGCAAAAGGTTGGGGATGTAGCTCAGGGAGAAGGGCCTGAGTTCACTTCTGAGTACTGTTTAAAAAAAGAGTCAGGAGTTGATGGTTTCATACTTTCATATTTTGGCTCCACATTCTAAATACTTACACAGAGCTTAAATCTTTAGGGCTTTTCCCCTTTTTGATGTTGAATAATTAACAAGACTAAAATCAGGATCCAGGACCATCAGAAAAGGCATCTGAGCTATTAGTGGATGCCTCCGCAATGGGTCCAACTCAAAGTCATGGCAGACTTGCTAACAAGTCACAGATGTCATTCTGGGCAACCACCAACAAGCAGAGTTGGTACTCAACTCAGCTAGCTAATACAGAGATAAGTAACTTTCTTACCTTGCTTTTATAGTAATTTTAAAATTCTTAAAGCTCTTGTAACCAATGACTTTACTTTCTGGTCTTATTGAAATAGAAAAATGTGGCAAGACTGAAAAATAGAAACAAAGAAAAAATATTACCATTTAAATGACAGTACCTTTAAAATACAGCCAATAGCCATCCATCTGGTGTAGATGGACGAGCTGTGGCATCAACCCAACATCCACCGCATCATCACTACCCTCATCACCATCATCTCTGAGACCTTCTACTTCAACAGAGCCAGCCCAACCTTCAGGTACCACCAGCACTTGAATTATGTTTTTATTATAGCAGTTACTATTCCTTCTTCTTCTTAGAAACAAAAAAAGGCCATTCTCTATTTTTTTCTTTCCCTTTTAGTCTTCTCGTATGTCTTAAACACAGTGTTTTTTCTGTGAGTGTTCACCAAATCGATAGGAGGAAAGAAATTCTGGTTTACTTAGCACTTTCCTCTTTAGTCTAGTAGATAAAACCCATCCAATTGGGCCTGGTGGCACATGACTGTAATCCCAGCACTGGGAAGGTTGAGACAAGAGGGTCACTCTTGAGTTCCAGACCAGCCTGGGACTACAAATGTGATCACAAAGCCAATCCAAATTGCCTGGGGAGACACTGTCTTAAAAAAAAAAAAAAAATCCAACCTCAAAGTCAGCATATCCTTGTCACTAAAGAAAACAAAGATTACAATTGGGTATTAAAAAGGACATCTTGCCTTTTTACCTTGCTATTTTCTATTCTTTAAAATTTTATTTTGTTTTCTATGCCGATTCTTGTATATTTTTATAGTAGATAGCTTTGTCACTAGTACTGAGGCCTCCCTTGGAAATGTCTGTTCTTCAGGGATGTCTTCTAAGTGTAGGAGATTCTTGGTTTTTGTGTTTATCCCAGGATCTTACCTTCCCAATTTATTAAAGATAAAATGTTGGTATCCATTTGGCTCAGCCCCTAGTCCTGTGGTACTGACTATGGTGATGGTTATTACCCCAGACAGTCACAGTGTTGTTATACAAGATTAAACAACTGCTTACAACAGGCAGGACATCCTAGCTAAAGTAGTACAATTAAGAATAACAATAGCTTCAAGCACATCTTAGAAACTAACAAACTGTAGTAACTGTTAATTCGGTACCTTTAACCATAGGAGCAAGACCTACTGTTATAAGACAAAACCCAACATAAATTGGGAACTTGTATGCTAACAGCTGGAGGAGCAGGGCCTGCACCCGCCTGGGGGCTGGAGGCTATCACCCCAGATTGGGAAAACTGGGAAGTCTCCACAGGGATCACAATCATGGCTGTGCAGTTTGACGGGGGCGTGGCTCTGGGGGCGGACCCCAGAACAACCACTGAGTCCTACATCACCAATCGAGTGACTGGCAAACTGACTCCTATTCATGACCAAATCTTCTGCTGCCGCTCAGGTTCAGCCGCTGACACCCAGGCAGTAGCAGATGCTGTCACTTATCAGCTTTGTTTCCACAGCATTGAGTTGAATGAGCCTCCACTGGTACACACAGCAGCCAGCCTGTTTAAGGAGATGTGTTACCAATACTGGGAAGAGCTGATGGCAGGAATCATCATTGCAAGTTGGGACCCTCAAGAAGGAGGGCAGGTCTACTCAGTTCCCATGGGCGGTATGATGGTAAGGAAGTCCTTTGTCATTGGAGGTTCTGGGAGCTCATATAGCTATGGCTACGTCGATGCTACCTAGAGGAAAAGCAGGTCCAAGGAGGAGTGTCTACAGTTCACTGCCAGTGCTCTTGCTTTGGCTGTGGAGCGGGATGGTTCCAGTGGAGGGTGATCCACCTGGCAGCCATTGAAGAATCATGAGTTGAATGGCAGGTACTTTTGGGATACCAGATACCCAAATTTACTATTGCCACTTTACCACCCCTCTGATCCTAAGATTCTAGGCTGCAGTAAGAGATACCAATACTCTATAATGATTCAAAATTTAATAAACAGTTTTTCAGAGTTATAAATAAATAGTGAAGGCTGGAAGTAAAAGAACAAAGTGATTTGTTTCTCTGGCTGTGTTCTATGTGTCTGAAGACCAAAAGCAGGTGTGCTTTCCCCAGCACATGATGTCCCTAGCAGTAGGACTACACCAGTGAGCAAGGCAGACACAAACTCTGTCCCTCATGAGTCCACAATCAGAAGGGAAGACAGTGATAAGTAAATGATTGCACAGATAAACATCTGACCTATGGAGATGAGCAGGGTACCAAGAAGCACAGCAAGGGCTACCCAGGAAAGAGAGTTCAAGGAAGTCCTATGAGTAAGTGGCCTTTGACATGAGCCCTCAGCAAGAGTTGGCTGAGGGAGGATACAGAGAAAAACACTGGAGGCAGAGAAAACATTATGAGCAAAACCACCAGTGCGGGGCTGGCCAGATAGCTCAGCGGATTAAAGGGCCTGCTTAGGCAGACGCAGACCAGGGTTCAATCCACGTCATGCCATGCCAGCCCCGCCCCTGTGGCCATCTGAGATGGTGATAAGACTGGGCATGGTGGCATGCACCTGTAATCCCAGGGCTTGGGAAGCTGAAAACAGGAGGATCACTACAAGTCCAATCTGTGTAGTGAGACCCTGTACTAAATACACTTATTAAAAAAAAAAAAAAAAAAAACCACCAGTGCTGCAAGCAAGTGAGCTGAAGAGTGAATATAATTATTATTAATAATAATAATAATAATATAAGGCTGAAGGGGAATGAAGCAGGGACTAGCTCAAAAATAAAGATTTTACTTCTCATTATCAGAGCTGTTGGGGACATTTGAAACTCAAAATAATGTGATGATATTTGTGTTTCAGAGTTATTCTGCCTAATACAAGAAAGAGGACCTGGCAGCAGAGACACCAACAAGGAGGCTTTGCAGTGGTCCAGGAGGGAGTGTGGGATGATGGATGGGGGCAACTGTGGGGATGAGGTAGATGGACTGCAATGTAGGGAAAGCAGCAGAAGCCTCAGGAAGGAAGGCTGGGTAGAGTATATATGTGGGATGTAAAAAATGGCAGAAAGCCAGTGTGGTGGTGCATGCTTGTTATCCCAGGACTCAGGAGGTTGAAGCAAGAGGATCTCAATCAGGAGGTTGAAGCAAGAGGATCTCTGGACTCTGAGGCCAGTCTGAGATATCTAACTAATTCAAGGCCAAACTAAAGCAATGTAGCAAGACTAATAACTAACAGCTATGTGTCATACACACACACACACACACACACACACACACACACACACAGAAGCAGGCTTCAATCAGAAGGTAACTTTGATAACAGAGCACACAGATACTATAAAATACATCCAAATGGTTACTGTAAACTATATACTATCAGTCCATGTAATTAATTTGATAACACAAATCTTAAATTTTCAAATTAACATGAGGGATTTCTGTCCCAGAAAAAAATCATAGCACTGGACTAGACATAAAGAAACCCAAAAGTCTTTGTTCCATTTCTGATTATAAAATTTGAGTGAATCATATTTGTCTCACTAGATTCACAAGCTTCGTGTCTCATTATTTCTCCCAAACTATAATTCTGGAGAGGACCTTAATCAGCCTGGCTCCTCAAGGGACTAGACCTTTTCCAGCTGTGTGACAAGGAACACAAACCCGTGTGTTGGTCACTTGCTGAAGGTTGGCGTGGGCAGAGTGGCCGTAGAATGTAGGCACTCAAACTGCAACCACCCTCCCTCTCCCCGCTTCAGTCAAAACTTCCTGCCATTTCAAAAGGTTGCCTCCTTTTCACGTGGAACTGATCTGCACGAGATACATTCATGAAAAGAATTACTGCCAACAATAACTTCTAATAGGAGCATATAATTGTCAGGAATTACCATATTCTTTGATTTTAAAGTCGGTGGTTCCAATTGTTGAAAAGTCCTCCTTATATTTAGCTTTAATTGTCCACACACCGTATCTGTGGAAGTAAAGTACTTAAAATTATAGGTGTCATAAAATATTTTTAATTTACCAGAGGAAATCTAATAAATTTCTATTTTAAATTTATTAGCTTATGAATTAAACTTACTAAACTGTGTTTAGATATAAACACACACATATGTAGCCTAAGTAAGCATTTTATTTCAGATAAAATTTTAAATAATAAACTGAAATTATTGAGCATTATCAGGATTTTAGTTTTTCATATGTTGTTATTTTTCTGAAAATAATCATTACCTTTGAAAAACTGATAACTTAAGAATTTACTTAATCCTTGAAAAGAAAAAAAAAAAGAATTTACTTAATCCTAGAGTTTAATTATGCTAATATTAACAACCACAATACACAGGAAAAATGCATAATAATGCCTCTAGAAACAAGATATGTAAATGATAAATTTCACCCCCCCATCTAAGTGAAATTATATTGGAGAAAATAGTATGGCTTGTATACAGGGAAAATTATCTGTTTAATAAACTTCATTCAAATATGCTCCTGTGCCGGCCAGATAGCTCAGTGGACTAAAGCGCCTGCTTAGGCTGAGCGTAGGGGCCCCGGGTTCAATCCCCAGCATGCCATGCTGGCCCTGCCCCCAGGGCGCACTGTGCGTGGTGGCGCGCTCCTGTAATCCCAGCACTTGAGAGGCTGAAAACAGGAGGATCACTACGAGTCCTATCTGTGTAGTGAGACCCTGTAGACCCTGTACTAAATACCAAAAAAGAAAAACAACCGAAACAAAACAAAACAAAATGAAAAAACAACAACAACAACAAAAAAAAGAAAAACCAAAAAAACAAATATGCTGTCATGTGCAACTGAGAACTGAAGCTAGAATATGAGGTGGAGGAACTGGGATCTTCACAGTTAATGCTCCGTGTGAGTTCAAATTTTTAATTTTCCTTTGACCAGCAGTTTGCATTGAAGTGAGTGACTTTTGGGAAATGAGAAATATAACACTGATCTTAAAAGTCTGATTTTCCAGTCAATGAATGATATTGAATTATTCACATTATTCGTATGTTAGGTAGGTCACCCCCCCTGCCCCGTCCAACGGTGTTTTCCTTTCCCTCATAAATCCCTAACATATTAATTTGGAAATTTAATATACTCTTCTTGAAATAACTTATATTAGTGGACCAATAATTAATTTAATCTCTCTGCTGTGGTTATGCCAACATTGCTATCGTCATCATCGTTATTTCAAACAGCACTCACCAAATATGCATTATGTCAAGGGAACGAGAAATAAAAATGAGAACACAGACAAAGGCCCTGGCCCTCAGGAGTTTATAAGTTAGGGGGGAAGAAAAATGCAAGCATATCAGTAAATAAGTAATTGCAACATCAAGGTGTCACAGAGAAAAGACTCAAAATAAAGAGATGGAGGGAGAAGAAAGTGAAAGCCACTTTCCAACTCGCTCAGGAAGAGCCTTTCTGCAAGGGCAGCATTTCCCATGTTGTGAAGATGAGAGGAGGTAGCTTAGGTAACCGTCCTGCTGATTCCTGCTGGTCCATTGCAAGGAGAAGTGGGTGCTTAATTGTTTTTCTCTCCTTTTTGATTTTTTGACCCATTTTGCATGCTTATACCTGGTAATCCAAACAACTAATTTGAAGACAACAGAATGAAATTTAACAAGCGTTGTTTACTTTATTTATTTATTTATCTTTATGTATTTGGTACAGAGTCTACAATGTCTCACTACACAGATCAGACACATAGTGAGCCTCCTCTTTTCAGCCTCCCAAGTATTGGGATTACAGGCACACACCACCATGCGCAGCCTCAATCACGGTCTCAGCACACCCCAGGGGCAGGGCCGGCATGGCATGCCGAGGATTGAAGCCTGGCCACTGCGCTCTGCCTAAACAGGTGCTTTAGTCCCCTGAACTGTCTGGCCAGCCCTAACAACCATTATTGAGTTCCTATCATTTTGTTTAGTGAAATTCTGTATCACTTCTAATTTTTTTTTTTTTTTACTATTTTTATTCTCTTAAAAAAATACATTAAAAAAAAAAGATGAGACAAAAAAAAAAAAAGAAAAAGATAAGACAGAGCCAGCCAAATAGCTCAGCAGACTAAAGCCCCCGCTTAGACAGGCGCAGGGACTGGGATTCGATCCCTGGAGTGCCATGCTGGCCCACCCCTGGGGTGTGCTGAGAAGGCAACTGAGACTGGGCCTGATGGCTCCCACCCATAATCCCAGCCCTTGGGAGGCTGAAAACAGGAGGATCACTATGAGTCCAATCTGTGTAGTGAGAACCTATAGTGCCTGTACTAAAATACATAAAAAAGAAAGTAATAATAACAATAACAATAATAGAAAGATGAGAGGAGCCAGGTGAGCAGGTTCTAAGCAGAGAGGAAGACAGATGTATAAGATAAATGAAGAGAGTAATAAATAGGTTCAACTCTATACTGTCAAGTTTGTGGAATTTTCACGAAAATAGACAATTCTTCAATTGTCCAAATATTTAAATTTCCCAATTCCAATCCACAGTTTTAGAAAAATAAAATACTAGTACAATGAGCTAACTGAAAGCTCCTCCCTACAGGGCAGAGAACAATGACCATAAAAAGAGATTTTGTGTTAAAAATATATTGTAGCCATTTTTTTTTTTTTTTTTGTGGAACTGGGAATTGAACTCAGGCTCTTGCACTTGCCAGGGAAGTGCTTATTCTACTGAGCCATCTCCCCAGCTCTAGTAGCCACTTTTAAGTGCTCTGACTTATTGATCATGCTCTAAATTCTTGAAAAGAGGGATCGTGATTCTTTCTTTCATTTTGCACCTCTCCTATTGTGATTTGTAGGTACCAGGAATTTACTCATAAACCTGCGCTGCATAGAACCATGTTTAAACATGTTCTTAAAATGCTTGGGCCAGCCAAATAGCTCAGTGAACTAAAGCGCCTGCTTAGGCAGAGCACAGGGGCCAGGTTTGATCCCTGGTGTGTTATGCCACCCCCATGCCCCCGCCCCCCCAGGGCGTGCTAAAACGGCAGTTGAGACCTTGTGGTGGCGCAAACCTATAATCCCAGCTCTTGGGAGGCTGGAAGAGGTGGATCACTATGAGGAGGATCTGTGTAGTGAGACCCTGTAGATCCTGTAGCCCCTGTACTAAATATATTATTTAAAAAATGCTTGCACGTGAGGCTGAACAGAAGGAGAAAGAGAAGGAGAGGGAGATGGAAAGGGAGAGGGGGAAAGAAGGGGGAGAGGAAGGAGGAAGAAAAAGAGAAAAAAGAGGAGAGGGAGGAGAGGGGAGGGCCTATTCCATCAGAGGCAGGAATTGTTGATGTTAATGAGAAAAAAGAGCAAGACTGATTGGGAACACCTTTTTCCTCTTTCCAACTTTTATCTCTCTATATAAAAGAGAATGGAGGAGAAGTCTGAGGATATATTTTGCTTTCTCACCTCCCCTTTCTATTTTAGCTGCAGAGGGGGCAGTTTGTCACCTAAGCTGGACCAAAATTGCTGGGCTCAAGTGATCTCCTGCTTCAGCCCAAGTAGCTGGGGTTACTAAGGTGCTGGGCAGGGAAGTTTGTTTTTATGCCAGCAGTTGAGCCTATCTTCTCACTATCTGTAGAAAACATTTCACACATCTATATTTGTAACGTCTACATTTGTAACAACTTTATTAACCCTACATGACCCCATTGACAGTTTATCTGCTGCACAAGGAAAAGCTTTAGATATACTTATTTAATAAATAAATGAATAAATAAATAAACCCTTTATTAACAAATATTTATACATACTTAGGGTTAGGTAGAATCTTGAAGTCAGGAAAAGAGATAATTCCAGAATAATCATTTTCTTCTACTACGTCAACTTCTGATCCTTCAGGATCCTTTGAATAAAAAAAATTGCCATTGTCTTAGTTCATTTTCTGTTGCTATAAAAGAATATTGAGTGTGGGTAACTCACAAAGAACAGAAGTTTATTTTGATGCACACCTCTGGAGGCCGGGAAGTCCAAGAGGATGGGAGTGGTCAGGCAGGCCCCCTCCTGCTGCATCTTATTTTATTTTTTTAATTTTAATGCAAAAAAAGATAAAATAGCAATGAAATAGTTTTGAAATAGGTTAGTAGGACAGTTAATTAATACCTTACATATTGTTATCTTCATAGTAACTTCTGACAATTGCCAGATGTGCTGATAATGCACTACTATTATGGACTATTGGTCTATATTGGGTTATTCTGCTGAATTCAAGTACCTATAATCGTTGGACTGCCATCAAGTATGAAAAGGTCCTTTAAAGACTTCTCCAAGTACAGTTTCTCTAACTGCAATGGGACACACATCTCTGACAAAACAAGACAAAAAAGGTGGATACGTTGGGAGCCATAGAAGCTAGGAAATTGATCAAATGTGTGTAGGCGGGACTGGTCTTCAGTCCCTAAAGCAAACAAGCTACCTCAGTCCTGCTTCATTTTATAGTGGAAAAGAAGAAGAGGGAGCAAGCCCATTGTAAGAGTTCACTTTTATGACAAAGCCACTCCCAGAGAATGACTCACCCTAATGAGAAAAGGCTTAATTTGTTCCTAAAGGTGAACTCCAGGATAAGCACTCCCACTGGACCTCACTTCCTGCATTGCATTATTGGACATTAAGATTGCCTCTCACCATGGGGTGGGAGGTGCATTCTAACTCTAGAAATCCTCAAAGCATAGAGATATATTTAAAAAGTTTTAGCTGAATGTATATACTCTTTGAGTTACAATACCATTTACCAACAAATACTCATGACTCCATATTAAGTCTGAAAAACAAAATTTAGTTACACATAGGAAACAAATACAGTTCATTTAAAGCCACTTGCCTGCATTGTTTTTGTACCTTCCATGCTTTACTATCCTGAAGAGGCTGTACTCTCTATTCTACAATTTTAAGAAGTACAATAAAATATAAATAACAAGAAAATAACTGATGGCTTTTAATAAGCTAAATGTGAGAATGTGCTTTATAAACACCAGAATCCAATTTCAAGTTTTCCAAAGTAAATATTCATAAACTATATTTTTTTCACTAGGCATCTGATAAATGTACAAATTGATACTTTGAGCTTCAACTGGACAGTCTCATAAAGTGTAAAGTTGTTTTTCAGTTTATCACATTATGAAGATGGGGTTCTGACTTGCCATAAACAGATGGAGATTTCAGTTAAAAAGAAAAGAACCAGACCATAAGTAAAAGTGACAGTTGAAATTTTAAGGTACTTTTGTTCTTGAATTACAAATTGTAAACCATGCAAAAGGATATTTTGAAGAATGGTACTTGTAGCTAAGTATCTTTCTGCCTGTCCTCCACCTCATTGTTTGGCTGGGTGCAGTGTCTAAAGGAATCTCCTCCAGTGGCTCTGGGAGTGGCTTCCTCAGCCCTCCTCTGCCTGCAGTACCAGGGCTGTGCTTTGCTCAAATCCAGCCTGGCGACATGGGATAAAGAGCCTATGTCCATACCCCTGGTCTCTCCAGTGGAAAAGAGAGCATTAGGTGATGTTGCTTTGCCTAGTTCTCTCGCAGACATTCATTACGTCTGCCATTTTACTTACTATTCTCATTTTTTTAATACCTATTCTCATATCAGTCCTATTCCCAGAGATTAACTCATGCTGTTTAATACATGAAATGGTCTTCATTATTTTGATAAAACTCATGTGAATTCCCTTCACCGATGAAACTCAGATCAAAGTTTCCCTTAGTTAGCCCATTGCAGATAAGGATCCCTCCTCACTCTCAGCCATATTTTGTTTTCCTTCTCATCTCCTGTTTCATTTGCCTCAAAGCACACATTATTTGCATTGTATTATAGTATGGTTTTACTCTCTAGTGACTACTCTTTTGTATGCTGCATTCTAAGTCTGTTAATTTGTTTGAATAATAAAAAATATGGCAGCCTATCACAAAAACCACTACTAATACACCTATTGTTCATTGGTGAGCAATTACAAGTTGTGATATTTTATTTCTCCACACACAAAAAAATTTAGGTGTGAAAACTGCTTACAAACTGAGTAAGATCAAAACAAACTCACCAACCAAGTAAGACCCATAGGTTCTATTATGGCCCTCTGTTATGCTTATCATATGTGATTAACAATTGATAAATGATAACCTCAAGTTTTAGCCAAATTTTTTCCACATGTATTAATGTAATAGTTATTAAACTTCGAGCTCCTTAAAAGTAAATGGAACAGGTTATAAGTCTTTGTTTTAATTTATGCAATTTATACTTCTTTTGTACATAATAGGTAGTCAGTGAATTCTTGATGACTGTGCTCTAAAAATAGTCTGATGGCTGGGCTCAAAGCCCATCAAATTGTTGGGATTTAATTTTTATGTGCTTTTTATATGTTTATTTGTAAAGGTATACATTTATAATACTAAATTCATGATAAATGTTTAATAATGATTTATGAAATATGGAAGGAATGTGAAGTCAGGTCCTAAAAAGTGAGATAAAGTATTTTTAAATAGATAAAATACTTACTATGAAAGTTAAGACAGTTGGTCTTCTGGCTGGCATCAAGTCATCATTCAGGGAATAGACTGTAACTTTTACTGTAAGAACAATTGATAACATTAAAAACGTTTCTAAACAGAGTATTTTGATTTTTTTAAAGCTATCACCCTTAAAAAGTTAAATCTCATTTTTAAAACTCAATACACACACAATACATATTTAAAAGAAATAAAATGTCAGTAATATACATTACTAAAAAATCTTATTAAAGAAACTACCATGAGATTCCTTTAAAGAGCTGCCTTTAGGGCTGGAGAGCAGCTCAACAGTCTAAGTGCCTGCCTGAAAAGCACAAGGACCCAGGTTCGATCCCTCATATTGCATACCATACTGTCTGAACTGTGTAGTGAGACCCTGTACCAAATAAATAACCAAAAACTTAAAAAAATTAAAGATCTAAAGTTCAAAGTAGAGTTGACTGTATTAAAATATTTACATATGAATTTGGGGGAATGTGTCCATAGTACCAAATTAGCTACATGTATAGTTAGTCATTATTTATCATTAAGATTATAATAGCAAAACAGTGATGGTTACATGGAGTATAAAATATTGTCTTCTACCAGGGTTAAAGATTTTAATGGAAAAGTGGGAGTTTGATTACACATTGTATACTCCTCCACTTATGAAAACCAACAAGACTCCAAATTAATTCTTATAGAGAAAGACAGTTTTGAGAAAGTAAAACTGACCTGGGTTTGATTGAGGTTGTGATTGTACAGCTTTTGTCTAGGTACTAAGATCTGTTAGGTTTTGCATTTTAAGTTAGTGGATTGTGCAGCATGCAGTTTTTTGGTTTAATACAGTTGTTTTATTTAAAATAAAAAGGACAGCTTTGAGATGCATGGTTTTATTATATTTATTCAGCAAATTCTATAATTGATAGCTCATTGTAACAACAGGGCTTACAGCAGTTAGTTCTCTATTGCTTCTTTCTATCAATTAATAAGTCCCTGTTTTTTTAACAAAAGCCTTTGTTTAACTTTGAACTCATTGTTGTTTGATACATACTGATCTAGTTTCTTTCAGTGACATATTGTAACTTCTCTAGGGTTTTGCAGATGTGCAAATTATTTCATGGCCAAAATTTTTCCCACAGAAAATAACAGGTTTCTACCATCAGCCCCCTATCTCCTAGAGGGTCAATATTTTATGCAAATCTCTACAAAGTAGCAATATCAAAAGGAATTTTTTAAAAAGTGTATTTGTTTGTTACAGGGTCTCACTATGCAACTAGGACTCATAGTGCTCCACTTGTTTTTAGCCTCCCTAGTGCTGGGATTACAGGCGTGGCCACTCTGCCCACACTCTGGTTGGCTCAGCCCTCCCTGGGGGTGGGGCTGGCACAGCATGTGGTGCTTGCGCTTGCCTAAGCATGCACATTAGTCCACTGAGCTATCTCACCGGCCTCAAAACTAATCTCAATAAGCACAGAAGGTAAAAGCAGTATGCTCAATATCTATTACCTTCTATATGCTCAATATGTCTCAGCTTCTACTTTTTCCTTCCCCTCACACCTGTATCCCAACTTGAAATCGCCCTCCTGCCTTGTGGATACACTCAGACTAGGAGCGAGCATCCCCAGCCCAGGGAGGGATGGATGTGATGGTGGAGGAGAGCTAGATCAGGAAAACGTGTTCCTCATCATAGGGTCCTGGGATCACAGAAAGGGTGCAACGGGAGTTAACAAGGCAGAGTGAGGCAGGGAGGTACTGCCCAGAGATAATGGCACATTACCCAGGCCTTGATGTGGAGGAACAGACGGTGGAGCCAGCAATTGGAACGAGGCTGGCTTGATCTGGGTCCTCACTATTGTCATCAGGAGCATCAGCAAATACTGCTGCGTGCAGAGTTCTTCAACAAAAGCTGCGGTCTTGCCTCCTTTTCTCTGTCCTTCCCTAACAATATCATTAAACATTCTGACCTCTGCCTTGCACATACACATCTCACAATTCCATTTCTGAGGTGCTTAAAGATCAGAGTGATGGGGCCGGGGAGATAACTCAGTGGTCAAAGTGCTTGTCTGGCAAGCACAAGATCCCAAGTTCAATCCCTGGTCTGGCATGCTGTGCCAGTACAGAACTCTGGGTGCTCCGCTGGCCTCTAAAATAGGGTGTGGTGGCACAGGCCTGTGATCCCAGCACTGGGGAGGCTGAGACAGGAGGATCACTATGAGTCTGAGCTGCGTAGTACCAACTAAATAAATAAATAAACAAATCAATGATTAAAAAAAAAAGACCAGAGAGATAGATGAAGGAATTGAAGCTTTGCAAACATTTGTATGTATCAGGTAGCAGTAATATTTTTTTCTATTTTCCTTTTGGCTTACTGGAGGGAAAAAATCTTAGCACTCCTCCAACAAAAGTTTGATTGGCTATTCTTCTCTTTCCCTCTCTAACAGAAGAGCTGTACATTGGAAGTGTCTTAACAGACACCTTCTCAGGTACAAGTCCTTTGAAAACGCTAATCCCTGCACTTTTGTGACAAATTTATTCCTTATTTTTCCTGGTTTGGTAATTAACTCCAGAATCAATTAAATTTTTCATGAACATGGATCTATAACAATTTTTTTTCCCTTTGCCAAAATTGTTTGCAATTAAGTCCTTTATTTGCTTAATGATGTCTAACATAACATTTTATGATGTTTAGAATTCTTTTTTTTTTTTTTCTTATTTCAAAATAACTGATAGGACAGACAATACAATTAAAAAATTTTCTGTTCTTTCTGAGACACTTTAAGTATGTAGTTCAGGCTGGCCTTGAGCTCACTTTGTTGCCGAGGTTGACCTTGAACCCACGATCCTTCTGCCTCACCTTCCCAAGTTCTGGGATTACAGGCGTGTGCCATCACACTGTAATTGATTTGGCAATTTACTTAGCAACTTCTGTACAAATTTAAAATAAAAATGCTACTTGAAACTATAAAAGTCATTAGGAATTGAGAATCTTTTGAGCAAGATGAAAATCTACCTCCACTCAATTTCAGGTGTTCTAAAATACAGCAACAGTAGCAGGCTCCAAGCTCAGGGGTTAGAGCACTGGTCTTGTAAAATACAGCATCATTCTCTCCCCCAAGAAAAAACAAGCATCTAACCCTACCTGATTCACGTGGAGAGTAAACGGTTTTGTCTGTATGAATGAAGAGAAATCCATTGTTATAGGTTATTGGAATTTTTTTCAGTTCTGAAAAATACTTTGACACAACCTCCAGATACACATGTGAAACTGAGTTTTGTCCTCCAGGCAATTGCTTGGGTTGTATCTGTAAACGAAAAACATCAATAACAAAGAGTAAACTAATTCTAAGTTGATAGAGCATGTGAACATTCCAGAATCCACTGTCACATTATTAAAGTAAAAGTGTCATGTCTTATCATTTAAAAAGTGGCACAAGGGCCAGCCTGATAGCTCAGTGGACTAAAGCACCTGCCTAGAATCCCAGTGCTTGGGAGGCTGAAAACAGGAGGATCACTACAAGTCTGATCCATGTAGTGAGACCCTGTACACCCTGTAGACTCTGTCCTAAATACAGAAAAGAAAAGAAAAGGAAAAAAAAAAGTGGCCCCACTTTTGAGATAGCTCAGCTCAGCAGTCTAAAGCTTCTGCTTAGGCAAGCTTAGGCAAATGCACAGGCGGCAACTCTCACCATGCCAGCCCTGCCCCCCGGGGGCGCTAGGCTGGCCACACACGCACAAAAAGAAGTGGCACAGAAGCCAAAAGAAGTGCACATTAATTTTAGCTGAAGCCCTTCAGTGTCCAATATTGTAACCAAAATGTAGCTTTAAATGGTTGAAAGCATTATTGGTTCTATATGTCTCAGGTTTTACACACATTTAGTGAAACAGCTACTAGAGAAGCTCATAAGAAATCACAACTTTAGCAGCCCACGTCCCTGCTCCCCATTTCCTCCGTATGATACCCTGGCTGTTGTTCTAGACACTTAGTGTTGCAGCACACACTCCTGTTCCCGCAAGGCAGATGCACACTCCCCAAGGGTGTATAAAAATTAAAAATACACAACTCCTTTACTTTCAATGCTATATGAATCTAACACGTAATAAAAGAAATGTATTTATTACATTTGGAAACATGGGATAAAAGTTAATCACTGAAACCACCTGCTGTGGAATTAAGCATGTGAGATTACTGTAGAAATTTGGAAAACAATATAAATCTTTAGATTTTCTCCACTCATCTTGCTTTACAGGTGTCTTTAAGCTTCCCACTCTCTTCCTCAGCCTCCCCCAGCCTGCTTGTGAGTACTGGGGATTGAACTCAGGGCCGGTTCACTAAGTCTCATCTCTAGCTTTTTTATCGTTTGAGATGATTTTATTTTGAGGCGTGGTGAACTCAAACTTATGCCTCTCCTGCCTCAGCCTCCCAGTGCTAGAATTACAGATGTGTACCACCATACATGGCTTTTGTTCTTGGAGCAAAGTACAAAACACAGATGATTTATTTTTCATTTTTTATTTTTTCTGTGTTTAGGACAGGGTCTACAAGGTGTTCAGGGTCTCACTATATAGATTGGACTCGTAGTGATTCTCCTGTTTTCAGCCTCCCAAGTGCTGGGATTACAGGCGTGTGCCACCACGCCCAGTCTCGATCACTGTCTGAGCACGCCTCTTGGGCGGGCCAGCACAGCGTGCCTGGGATCAAACCCTGGCCACTGAGCTCTGCCTAAGCAGGCGCTTTAGTCCACTGAGCTCTCAGGCTGGCCCACAAAGATGATTTTAAAGCATGAACGTAACAAATAAGATATGGCTCTCTGGTCAGTGGATTTACACTTAAAACAAGACCAAAGAACAACATCAAATAATTGATAAACAAAGACTCATTTTAATGCTGAGACAAAATTAGATGCTTGCAATATCATCACTTTGTATGACCCTCTTACCTTTATCTACTTTTTATGTAACCATCTAAGCACTTGTCAACAGAATTTTCTGTGACGAGGTTAATGTTCTATATCTATGCCATTCAGGGTAGTAGCTGTTGCACGTGATGCTGAAGAGAAGGTCAATGTAACTGAGGGACTGAATTTTTAGCTAAATTGATTTATTTAAATATAAAAATAAATATCCATAGCTGGCAAGAGTCTACCTTGCACCTTTTAGATCAGAGAGTACCTACTGGAAAAAAAAATATTTTGGGAAATTCAATTTCAATTCTTAATAAAGTTAATAAGTAGAGTGAGTATTTGTCCAGAGATGAGAGCATTTAGTATCAAAGACATTATTGAAAGAACTTCTACGTTTGATTAGAATTTATTTAGAGCAAGTTTTCTCAAGTTTAATATATATATATATATATATATACACACACACACACACATATATCCCTTTTAAAGATAAAATGTGGAAAACTGTCAGCATTTATAATATAAATAAGAAATCACTTATAACATGAGTTAAATGTATACAAGCCTTCAATTAGATACATATTTCTTATGAATATTATTTTTGCATATGTTAAAAAGCAAAAAATATGTAAGTTTAAAATATTTCAAAATCAATACAATTCAAATTTTAAGCTCTCTATACAATTTCAACTTTTAATTTCTTAAAAAAAAAAAAAACTTACTGTAGAGAAACACTAGTCTAAATGAGCCCAGAACTCTTTTAACGACTAATATTCTGTAATTTTTCAGATTCTTCAATAAGTTTCATATTTTTGGTAAGATTTGAATTGCAAGCAGGTCTCTAACCAATAAGTACTATAATATCTGAGTAGAAGAATTTATTTGATCAAGCTTGTTCTTTCTTTTCTTTTTCTTTTTTTTTGGCTGGCTCAGCCCACCCTGGGGGTCAGGGCTGGCACAACATGTGGGCTGGGGATCAAACCACAGTCCCTGTGCTTGCCTAAGCATGTCTAAGCAGGTGCTTTAGTCCACTGAGCTATCTCGCCAGCAAGCTTGTTCTTTGTATTAATTGTGTATTGTCAAAGACAGCTATTCACAATATTAATAATTTTATTTCAAAGCTATAATTATAGATTATTTGAGTTTAAACAAATATATGTTAAATAGCATCTGTGGATATTTATGAGCAATACACTATAAACCAATGTGAATATTCATATTTCTCAATTTTTTTTCTTCATTTCTTTGTGTATTTTGTACAGGGTCTCACTATGCAGATCAGACTCTTAGTGATCCTCCTGTTTTCAGCCTCCCCAGCACTGGGATAAGAGGCATGCACCACCTTGCCTGGACTCTGATGCCAGCTCAGAGCACCCAGGGGTAGGCACGACATGCTTGACTGGGGATCAAACCCTGCTCCCTGAGCTTGCCAAAACCGGCTCTTTTCCGCTGAGCTATCTCACTGGCCCAATTTCTTTGTAATAATTTCATAGCAAGAAAACATTTTAAATTTAAATTCAAATATTTTCACAGTGGTATAATTTGGGAAGGGGATACTTGGGGTTGAAACCAGAGCCTTCTGCATGCTCAGCAAGATAAGTACTCTGCATAGCATTGTATTACATCCTCCATCCTTTAATGAAAAAAAATCCCATTTATATGGGGTCTCAGTAGAGACCAGTTACACAGGCTGGCCTCAAACTTTTGGTCCTCCTGCCTCAGCCTTCTGAGGTGCTGGGATTACAGGTAAGGAAGCACATCAGGCCTGGAAGCACAATTTTATTTTCCAGTAAGAATGTGAACATTTAATTGCGTTACTGTTTAGGATTGTCTGTTTCACTCAGATTATCATTCCAGATAATCATATAATAATCCCATAGCAGTACAGTGGTACAAATGATTAAATCCATATTTTCAATATTTAACCAAATATATAGAGACATACCAACATTTATATTGATAAATACATACTGTTAAGACTGCAGAGTTTTGGAATCTATTTGCTTCGGATAAATGAACATAGTCCGAAGAATAACTTATATTTTTATCAGGATAACTTTTTACGGAGACTATTATATCAAATGCTTCAGTGTATCCAGAACCTTGAATTACAATATTTTCAGATGCTCCAACAATGAATACTTTGGGTGCTGAAATGACGTATCTGTTGAAACAGGAAAAGAAAAGGTACAGCATCTACATAGGACATAATTTTCTTATACTGCTGATCCTTCTCTCACCTGAGATTTAATCTAAAGGAAACATTCCAACTGGAAAATGATACATTAAAATCAAATTTTTATTTTGTGATTTATGATAATTTTAGCATAGCTTCAAAGAAGGAATAGCGTGTGATTAAGCCCTGAGAAATAGGCCTGGAGATCTGGGTCACATTTAGAGGGGTAATAATGACACTTCACACGGGCTGCCGCCACCAAGGATGTCCCTACAGTGTTGACTATGGAAGTGTTCCCTCTACCCGAAAGAACATGAAAGTAACACAAAATGCAATGCCAACTTTGCCATCTGCTGGCTGAGTGGCTTAGGTAAAGCCACTAAGCTCTGAGCCAAAAATAATTTATCTGTGAAAATTACTTTTTCAAAAACTTGGCTGGGGGTGACGGTTAAATATGAGTGCATATGTTAAAGCATTCCGCATACTCAGTACTCAACGAATAAGGTTCAATTAAATTAGTTAGAAGAAGTAACCTTAGAAGTATTAATGGGTGAGGGCCAGCCAAATAGCTCAGCAGATTAAAGCACCTGCAAGCAGGTACAGGGGCTGGGGGTTCCATCCTCAAGGCCTGCTGTGCCAGCCCTGCCCCCCCCCCACCAGGGGCATGCTGAGACAGCAATTGAGACTGGGTGTGGTGGCATGGGCCTGTAATCCCGGGCTCTTGGGAGGCTGTAAACAGGTGGATCACTACAAGTCTGATCTAGTACTGAGATAGTCCTAAACAAGTCCTAAACACCCTGTGGACCCTTCCCTAAACTACAAAGGGAGAAGAGGAGGAGGGAGAGGAGGGGGA